CAGGCGCATGCTACCATGCCCAGCTAATTTTTAGTAGGGACGGGGTTTCACCATATTGGCCAGGCTGGTCTCAAACTCCTGACCTCGTGATCCATCTGCCTCGGCTTCCCAAAATGCTGGGAATACAGACATGAGTCACCACTCCCAGCCTAGACTTTTTTTCCTTTAAGTGATTTAAGGCTTTTGCATAGGAAAGTTCATCTAAGTTGCCTTTCCAAACTTCTTTTAACTGGGTTTTTTATTAAGACAAGATAACATAGTGGTTAGGAGCATAAGGGTCTTGGATTAGAGTTCTGGTTCTACCACTGATTGGCCGTATGACCTGTCAAGTTATTTATCCTTTCTTAAGTTTTAATTTCTTCATCTGTGAAACAGGGGTTCTTGGGAAGATTCAATGTAATGATGTATATAAAATGCTTAGTGTTTGGAACAGAATAAGCAGTCAATAAATGTTAACCACTATTATTATTATTACTGTTTTTCATTCAGTTTTGTCATATCAGAACTATTATTATTTCTCTTTCACTTTAAGCACTCTGGGACATTCTTTTTGAACTTTTTGGTGCTTTAGATATATTTTCCTCCATCAGACTACACATTTCTTTCTGTGTTTTCTCTTAGATTTATCTTATTACTTGTATATTTTATTCTAAGCAATATTCCTTCTCAAGATTCCTGGATGTGACTTAATCTACTTTTCATCATTTTCTACAATGTACATTATAATGTTGAGAACCCAGAATATACCTCAGGGGGTCTACCAGATATGTAGGAAATATGGCATTTTCTCATTCCAGTCCTGTGATAGTTGTTTACATATGTCTTATTCACACCCTCAAGATTGCACTGCATCTTTCCATTAGTGTTTTGCTGCACGGTGGGCGCTAAGCCTGTGTCAAATGTATTTAACATCGATCTGTACTTATAAGCTTTGAGTAACTTTGGAAGAGAGGCAGGTTTCATTTTCTCTAATGGAAACTATATGCAAAGAAATTTACATTCAGACAAAAATACTTTGGACTTCAGTACAGTGGTTTTTGTGGCATATTGCAATGCAAACCACCATTGAAAGAACACTTAGAATTTATTTTCATTGTGAGTTGGTATGCAAATCCCTTTCCATTGAGATTCCTTGGCCGAGTCCCTGTGATAGGTAAAGGCTCATATTTTCTTTCAAAGTTTCTAAACCTTTATAGTTTTTGAGGTACTGTGCTAGACAATGCAAGATGTGATTATATAGTTATTTTTGATTATCTGATATGTCATGGAAAGCCTATTTCTTGATCTCTGATTAGAGAATGGTTTGTCTATGTTTTGCAATTGTAGCAGTTTAGTATCCTAGAGCATTGCTATTATAGACAACATTCAGGTCCATATTGGTAATACTTTCTCATGACTAAGTAGAATTGGTTTCAGGGGAATTTTTCCTTCTTGATGTTTTGGGGGATTTTCTGATGTTATTTCTTTTTTTCTAGTTGAAAAACCCCTTAAAAGCCCCAGGCACTTTTTCATAAACAGAATCTTATTAGCAGCTCAATAAATTGGCTTACTTAAATTAGGATTCCAGTTTTTAACTAGCGTTAGGGCTTGCCTTGAATTCTGTTAGGAAATTTATCTGATTTACCTAAATCAAGGGCTTTGTTATAAACTTTTCCTTTGTTACCTTTCACTTAAAACTTTAATACTTCTGTTAACTTATTTCAAATGGGGCCATGGGATCTGAGTTAGGGATCTAAAGTAAAATTGATCAAGAGCCAATGAGAACATTTTGAACATGCTATCTTAAAAGATATAATAAAGATCACCCTTCTTTTCCATCATTTCATGTGTCTTATATTCCAAACACATTGATTGAACTTAAAGAGATAAACAAAGCACTGTTCTTCCTGCCAAGACACTCAACGTTTAGAGGGTATGGACAGTCAAGTACAGAGGTAGCATATTGTGTAATACCTGCTAAAATAAAGATACTATATAATGAAAGAAATGGCTTATGTAAATACCTGGGCTCTCTTGGAAGATGTCAGAAGAGGTGATATATGTGTGGGTCTTAAAGCAAAGAGGACATAAGATGCTCCAGGAAGAGGGAATTGCATGGGCGATTCTGAGGCATGAAATAATAGCATTTTAGGAAATGAGTGATTTGTTTTTAATGGTTTCAGAGGTTCGGTTGGACAGAGAGATAGGTATGAGAGAGGGAAAGAGTAGAAAGTGGGATAAGTCTAGAAAATGTAGTCATGATCAAAGTGAAAAGGGCTTTGGAAAAGCTTGCACTTTATCTGGCAACTATTAGAGGAACCATTGAAGAACTAGAAGACTGGAGGTTGAAGAGACTAGGGAGAGACTGGGAGAAAGGCGAGAGGGAAAAGGAGATTTACTCACCTGAATCAGTAGTTCCCAATTCTTGCCCTACTTTGGAATTATCCTTGGTGTTTGTAAATAATACAGATGTTCAAGCCCCACTCCTGGAGATTTTTATTTTGGGGTAGAAATGGACCATTCTTATTTTTCAATAAACTCCATAGGTGATACTGATCAACAGCCCAGGTAAGAAATGTCTATGTTATAGTCATGGCAGAACATAATATGTTTTACCTCAGTTGGATTCATTGATTTACAGAAAGAAGATGCATTATATTCATTGATATATTGTTAGAATAAATGTATTAGTATTCTATGTGTTTTATTTAGGATATTTGCATTTATATCTGTAAAATGTAAGAAAAGTATTTGTAATTCTTACAAATATATCTGTAAAAAAAGAAGATGCTAGAATTAAGTCAGAAGGTGCTAGTGTCCAACTGGTTCACTGAAGCAGGAAGTACCAAGGCAAATTTTGAGATCAAATTTGGAGCCCAGAGAGGTTGGCTAGTCAGTTGATATGGGGGTCCAAGGCAGTTAGCTTGAATATCAGGGTCAGTGGGCCAGTGTTGCCAGTATATTTTACAGGCTCCGAACATAATCCCAAAGAAGGATATGTCTCCAAATTTCCAGGGTTAGTGGGGCATTGGTCTGTTTTCCCTGTGTTGCATAATTTTTCCTTAGGCTGATTTTATCTGTTCTTATGTAACATGAAATATCTCGGTCTCTACAGCTGTGATGCAAGTGAAGACACATTAATATTTAATGGTCAAAATATAATAGCTTTTAATCTCCTTTCTGTTCTAGTGGGACTTTCTCCCCTCAAAGTTTTTCCACAGCCTCTTAGGGAAATCCCCTTATCTTTTATGGCTCTGTCCTCTTCCTCATCAAGACTCTCACATTTTTTGTTGCCCTTCCAGGGAGTCCTGTTCTGTAAAACAGCTGGTCTGTGTTTTTATGTGTAGCCATTTTTCAGATTGTTATCAAAGTTATAATAGTTTTATAAAATTATTTGAGAAGATATCTGTTCCTCTCTGTATTTGGAAACATTTAAAATGGCATAGGAATGATCAGTTCTTTGGAATTAAAATATTTTGTTTATGAACTCATTTGAGCCTGACACTTTTACATGAAATAATTTTTGGATAATGTTTCCAGTTTCTTCCATTTTTGTTTCTGTGTTTTGGTTTCTTGCTTTTTGAGTTAATTTGCTAATGACTAATGATGTTGAACAACTTTTCATGTGCTTACTGGATGTTTGTGTCTTTTCTGGAGAAATGTCTATTCAAATTATTTGCCCATATTTAAAAGGAGTTATTTGCCTTTTTATTATTGAGTTATAACAATTCTCAGTTATAACTTTGCATATAATGATGAATGCAAGCCTTTTATCAGACATTTGATTTTGAAAACACTTTCTCCTATTCTGTAGGCTGTCTTTTCACTTTCTTGATGGTATCCTTTGAAACACAAAAGTTTTTGATTCTGATAAAGTCAAACTTACCTACTTTTTCTCTTGTCATTGTGCTTTCCGTGTTCCAGAACACTTAAAGTGAAAGATTAATAATAATAGTCCTGATATGACAAAACAGAATGTTCCAGAGTGCTTAAAGTGAAAGAAAGAATAGTAGTAGTAATCGTGATTATAATGTCTAACATTTATTGACTGCTTACTCTGTTCAAAACACTAAGCATTTTAAATGCATCATTGCATTAAATCTTCCAAACACCACTACCTAACTCGAGGTCACAAAGATTTGGTCATATATTTTCTTCTGAGAGTTTTATAATCTTAGCTCTTACATTTGAATGTATTATTCATTTTAAGTTACTATTTGTCTATAGTGTGAAATAGGAGTCCAGCTTTATTCTTTTGCATGTAATGTTTGATTGTCCCAGCACCATTTGTTGAAATGACTATTCTTTCACTTAATTTTAATCTTTACATGGGTTTTTACTTAGAACTCAGAGAGTCTTTGCTTTTTAATTTAATTTAAAAGAAAGTGTAACCCATTTACATGCATTATTATTGCTTACATATTTAGCCCTACTTTTGAAATGTTATTTAGGCCAGATTTTTATATTTCTTCTGTGTTTTATGTGTTATCTCTCTGTGTATAATCTTTTAACAAAGTGGTTGCCTTTCCATCAGTTTCACAGAATGTGTTTTTTCTATTTTATTTCTTCTTGCTGATAGAAAGAAACTCTCAATAATACTTATTTCATAAACCACATATACCAATATTTGAGAGTCACACTTCAGTTGAATTAGGGTGTATGTATAATTCATCAGCATAAATGATGATGGTGTTATAAACTTTTAAGGACAATGAAATATGATGGTAGATACTTAGAATATTCAATTCAAAATATAATGTCTCATATTCATGTCTAATAATAATGATAAACATATAAGATATATAAATATGATGCCATTGGTGATCATGATTAACCTTATTTAGTAGGCATCTTTCACTTTTGCAAAATCATTAAATAGTTGAAACAGACATGTATATATTTGAGCCTCTGAGGCTCAAAAAATACATATAAAAAGATAATATTGAATTATAGAATTCTATAAACGTGAATAGAGTTCAAGCTCTTGACATGTATTTTTCTATTTTCATATTTCATTATAGGAAGCATATTCTTTAATTGAGAGGATTGAAGCTGAACAAAATGCCCTGTATTCCTATCAGAAATATTTGGAAAGTTCAAAAAGAAAGAAAAGCAGAATCCCTCCTCCACCTATCCTGCTGTCTCGAACTCACTGTTCTGTGACACTCAAACCTGCTCCGTTTACTTCAGAGGTTAAGGTATGGTGTCCAGTATGATTTTTGCCTCATGCAAAGCAACATAAGTACTTTTATGCCTACTATGGTTCATACTTTGATTGCTTTCAGGAACTGGATAGTCATATTTATAAACACTGAACACTGGATTAATATTCCAAGTCTTATTTATACTTTGTTTCTTCATGACATATTACCCCTGATGCTGTTATATTTATGATATGTTCTGTATAGCATTGCTATGCCTAAATATACTGTTAGAAGAAACAGTAGAGAAGCACCTCCTTGTGAGTATCCTTGTCACCATGACACACCATACGCTGACATCCTCGTATGCTCAAGATGGAAGTCTCACTTATAGTGGAATCAGACATTTGAAGAGGGTAGAAGTTGCTTTCAGAGACAGTGACAGATATGAAGCAGCAGAGTGTGGAAATTTGGAGGTGATGAGTCTAGAGGTTCTGCCCAAAGTCTTTCCAATTAAATGTAGATTCTTTCAATGCAAACATAGGAACTCCAACCATATTATAAACCGTACATCTTTGTGTGTTTATTGGAGGATGAGCTTTTTCTCCCATCTCTGATGCCTCAGAACTTGGCCTGTATGTGACTGAAACTTGAAATTAAGTTTCTTCACAAGAATTTGGTTCTACCTAATTTATATTTTACAAACTACACTTTCCTCTTTAAGATGATCAACAACATGCTCTTTGATGTTATATAAAAATAAAGTTTTATCTTTGATTCTCTTTAGGATGTCCTGCTTGAAGTTATGTCAACTTGGTATAGTAGAGAGAATACAGGCTTTGGAGTCAGATTTAGGTTTATAATTCTAGCTCCAACCTTTTCTGGAAGTCTGACCTTAGGAAAGTTAAATACATTTTCTGAGTTTTTTTTTTTTTTTTTTTAATTTGGAAAGTGTATTTACTTTGAAAATTAAATGAGATAATGTATCATATTTTTGGCATATTAACTGATATCTTTCCACTTCTTGTTTTAAACATAAGTAGTAAAGCTTAGTCAAAAACTTGTAATCCCAGTACTTTGGGAGGATGAGGTAGGTGGATTACCTGAGGTCAGGGGTTTGAGATCATCTTGGCCAACATGGTGAAACCCTGTCTCTACTAAAAATACAAAAAATTAGCCGGGCATTGTGGTGGGCACCTGTAATCCCAGCTACTTAGGAGGCTGAGGCAGGAGAATCGTTTGAACCTGGGAGGCAGAGGTTGGAGTGAGCCGAGATCACACCACTGTACTCCAGCCTGGGTGACAGAGTGAGATTCTGTCTTTAAAAAAAAAAAAAAAAAAAAAAGGAATGAAGTGATAGACTGTGATTACATTATTTGGTGATTTTTTTTTTTTTTTTGGATTCTGTCCAATGAGCATTTATTGAGAGCCTATAATCTGTCAAGCTCTGTTTGAGGTAATTGAGGCATAAAGATAATATGGATTAAATGTGCTTGCATTCTTTGAGGAACTTCAGACGATTGGCAAATGGACATCAGTGACAACTGATAACAGCCTTCATAATGCTTTATAATTGGGAGAGTAGGGGAATAGAAGTGACATTCATTTTGTACCTAACCATTCTATGATAAATGCATTATTGCTAGTGCTAGTGCTTTTAAAGTTAAACTTTGGATTTTTGAAATCTGTTTAAGAACAGAACTTCATTGATTTTGGAAAATTAGTACAGAATTAAGATCATGTGATTTACCAAGTGTTTTTGTTTGCTTTTATTCAAATATTTGGGTTTCTTTAACCAAAATTTTATTCTTTATATACTTCAATTTAGCGATTATTTTATTTCATAATACTTGGAAATAGGAAGATAGAAGAGTCTCATATTTGGCCTGTAGTTTTAAGACTCATCAATGAGCACATTATAGGAAGTTTGTATGTATTATGCATATTAAGAATTCCAGGAAATTATTACCATCTGTTACCTTCTCAACACTAGATGGTGCTATGGGCTTAAATAAGTTTTCTGGTTCGAGGCTTCAGCCATCTTTTGTTTTCTCAAAATCTCTTGTTGAGGCATTCATTTCATTAAAATCTACTTTTATAGTTGAAAATTCTAATGTTATTTACATTACATGTAAACTCTTCTAAAGTTAGTGCTGATTTGTTCATGATATCTCTACCCTTATGTAGATTCTAATTACAGATTGTTTCTTAGAGTTACACAAATAAGATGTCTTCGTCTGTGGAACAAAATAAAAATATAAAGTTAGCTTGTAAAAATGCTTTAAGAGAGAATTTTATCCTCCAAATTCTGGTTTATATAATAGAACTTGGAGCAATAATGATGTAAGTTATAGCACATAGTCTTTCTGCTGTTTTTCTTCTTTGAAAATGATATCTTTTTGCATGAGAAATCAAAGGAAGTTAGCTTTGCATATTTTTTTTCTGAGATTCATCTGATTTTTCTTTTTTTTTTTGTTAACCCTGCCCTCCAGCTTCCAGGTTCCTTCTGTGTTCCCTTTTTCCTGTTCTGCCTTTGACTAGTGCTTTTTAATCAGTTGTGCATATCACAATCAGTTGAGAAATACTCCTTTGGAAATACAAAGATTCAGACACTTGCACCAGAAATTCTAATTCATTGAAGATAGACAGGATTGGGTATCTGTAATTTATGAAAATGGTTGATTCTGCCCAAATTTGTATTTCAAAGAAGTGATTCTGGAGCACAGTCAGGGTTGAGAACCACTTGTGTTAATTGGACATCGTTGGTATTTTCCTGTTGACCTGGAGGAAGGAGTAGCAGACACAAGCTGTAAGAGGTAGTTGCTTCTTAGTGACAGTGGCATTTTTCCTTCTTTCTAGCTTGCCTTGTTGTTTAGGAGCTGCCTCTGGGAAGAAGGTAATGACATAGCCATGACCCCTACAACAAGTATTATGGCTCGTTCATAATACTACACCCTCAGGTGTCACCTACCTCCCTTTTTCTCTATAGGGAGAAAAGTTCATTCCAATAATGAATTGTCATTATCTTGACACCTTGGCAAAAGGATCATTGTCTAAGCGTTTACTCAAGATTAAGTTGAGTTGTTTCTTTGGGATTTACATTTTGTGTTTGATTTATGTCTAATTTTTATATTCAAAATATAACAAACTAGATATAATGTTTCAGAAAATGTATAAATTGGAGAAAAAATTGACCCATTAGCTACCTGTCATCTTACCATTTTATCATCCAAATCCTACTGCTGTTCTTATTTAGGGGTGTTTTCTTCCAGGCTTTTTCATATGTATTTTTACATTTTATTTAAAATATTAGATTTTAATGACTTTCTTCTCTTGCCACTTGCTTTTTGTGTCATACATTATCATATAAAATATGAAAATCATTTGAGTGTTGGCCTTCTTTTTTTCCACGAAGACTAAGTCATTTTAGGAGTCAACCCCGGCCAGTATCTGTCTGATGTTGGGCAAAATTATTTAACATCTCTGTACCTCCATTCCCTGTGAAGCAAAATGACAATAGTAACCCCATCTCATAGAGTTGTACATATTAGAAAATATCTGTAAATTTCTTAACAGTACTTAGCAGCAGGAACTGTTCAATTAATGGTGGTTAAAATAATAAATAATGAATAATATTTTAGTCTTAATTGTCCCGGTAAACTAGCTAAGGTTACTTTTACTTTTTAAAAATTAAACCTAAATATATTTGTAAACTTGAATTTCATGTTTTAAAACTTGAATAGTTAGATTTTTATTTAGAAAAGTTTTCTTTTGCTACATTGATATTAAAGAATGCCTTTTAAACAGGGTCATTTCTCTCCTCTGCAGGTCTCTTGGTACTGCATTTTGGGTTGCAAAGCAGAAGGAAGTTATGGAAAAGTACGGCTAAACAATAATCATCTCCCAAATTCAGGAGAAGCGGTATGTCAAATTCAATGTCAGGAGATCTTACTATGATAATTATGATGATATTAAATTATTATGATAATTAATTTTTTTGATGAAGTCATTGTTTTGGTGAATCTCTCTAATTTCTACTTGAATCATAACTAAAATTCAACAGTGACTAAGAAAAGTGTTTTTTTTTAAATAGAAGGTTTACTTAATTGTATTTAAAAAGTCATGTTATTTTAATTTTCCATGTATAACTTGAAATATATTTTTCTTAATAGATACCAGCTGACGGTAAAAGCATTTTCGAAGTGAAAGGTTTAGAAACCAATGAAAAATATGTATTTGCAGTTGCTGCCTATTCTAATAATGGAAAGCTTGTTGGGGGTGCTATTGGGGAGACAACTAAACCAATTCTGGTTTATCCACCTCTTTCAACTATTACTGCTCGGATGTTCCTCACACAGGTAGAAGAGATTTCTGCTCATTTTTCTGCTATGTTTCTTTCTCTTAAGCAGTTACGAAGTAATTTTTGATGGAAATAAAAATCACAGCAGATATTCTAAACCTCCTTTAACACGTATTTTCCATTACTACTGTTTTGTCTTATAAAATAGGAATCATTCCTTCTCAGTGAATTTGCTTTTTGACAATAACATTTTTTTCCTGGATTACAAATGTAACACATATATATTAATTTTAGAAATGCTGAAAAATACTGAAATGCACGAAGAAGAAATAAATGTTACGTGCTTTCCTGTCATCCAGAGTAGCAGAGTTCTTACCCTGGGGCAATTTTGTCAATGTCTAGAGAAATTTTTGGTTGTCACAAACTAGAAGGGTGCTACTGACATCTAGTGAGTAGAGGCCAGGGAGTCTGATAAACACCTTACAATGTTCAGGATAGCCCCCATAGCAGAGAATTATCCAGCATAAAATGTCGGTGGTGTCAAGACTGAGAAACCCTAATCCAGAGATATTCTTTTATTTTTGTGTATATATATGCCTGTTGATCTAATTAGTACATATATATATATATACATGCATACACATATGTGTATGAACTTATGTACAACATATAATTTTAATCATAGTATATATATTATTTTACATCCTGATATTTTCACTTAACATATAATTGACATTTCTCTATTCCGTTAAGTATTCTTCAAGAGCAATTTTGAATGGTTCCATGGTATTGAATCTTATGGCTATATAATAGTTTGTTAATAATTCTCCATTGCTAAACATCTAGATATTTTCTAGTCTTTTGCTATTATAAACAAAGCTATGCTGCATATCTTTGTATATAAATCTTTATCTATATCCATCATTACTTTCTTTGGATAAATTTATAAAGTAAAACTGGGTCAGTAGAGGCAGACAGACCTGAGTTCAAATTCCAGCTCCTCAGAGTAGCCGTGTGATAGTGGACAAGTAATTTTCATCTGTGAAGCAGGGGTAATAGTAGTAGCTACTTCCTGAGGTATGATGAGTATTAAATGGAATTATGCTTAGCAAATATTTAATGATCGCACTTATCACACAGTAGGCACTGAATAAATAGTATCATTTTTAGTTAGGGATATACTGATGAATAGATACTTTTGCTGAAATAGTTGTTGCCTGACTTAAAACATATCACCAGTGAAGAGGATGCTGGAAAGAGTGACTTATTGACCTAGCTCCCAAGGATCTAATTTTAAGCCTATTGTTGTCTGTAGAGCTGATGGCTCTTCTAAATTTTGTTATGCTATTTTTCTCTTAATAGTTGATTAATATTATAAGTTAAGATCTTAGTGGCAATTTACATATCATATTTTTCAAAGAAAATTAAATTGAGAGAATTACTAGGATTTGTCTAGTATTGGCTTAGCATGTCATACTGGCTCATGGTTTTCTGATGTTTTGATATCTTTGGAATCTAATATATTCCCTAATTTGCAGTGATGGAGTTATTGTGAGGAACTGAATATTTCATCAAGGCCTAATTTTTCTCCAGGGAGTGGTTTGACTCTTGGGCTTAATCTGGCAGAACTTTCATTGAAAGTTAATAAAACTAAGTCAGAGCTATAGTGCTGGGATAATGAGAAGTGTCATGAAGTAATGACCTGTGTTTTTTTACTGACACTATATTTGCAGTTCTGTAGTTCATTTATGATGGTTTATGAGCATTCTGTCTCATAATGTGAAGTGGCTAAAGCAAACCTTTCTCACTTATTAAACCTCCTTAATTTACAACTTAAGTTTAAGCTTTTAAGCTTCAGCAAGTTAATGTACCTCTATTTTGTAAGTGCAATCTAATTTTCCTGAGAGTGGCTAGTTTCTAGTTTCAGGACAGTTCTTTTCTTAAAACATATTATTATTAATATCTGATGGTAAAGCATGGAGACATTTCACTAAATGCCTGTGATTAACTTGGCTTTTGGGACTTTAGGTTGTACTTTTACTCAGCATTATTCTGTAAACATTAATAAAATCAAGTGAATCTTTACTAGGTTTTCTCTAAATGTAGAAGGCTATTAGTTTGGTCTATCTGGAATTTTTTTTTTTTGAGCAACCTTTTTGAATTATACATTTTCTAAGGCTATTTTTCTCTTCTTTTCAGACTATTTCTTTTTATTCCTCCTCATTAAGTAGAAAATGACTAGATAATATGATATAAATATAGAAGAGTAGAAATCTGTGAGCAGGATTCTGATCTTGACCTTGGAGACTGATTTTAGGCCAATTGTTTGGCCTCAATTTTCCTATCTGTAAAATAGGTGTAAGATAAAATGCAGTATTCTAGTGAATTGTTGGACTACTAAATCAAATAGTGAGTGGACACAATGGCTTACTGAGATAAGGAAAGGAGAAATGTCATTTATTTAAAAACTACTGTGTACCAGACATTTAAAATTTATTATCCCACTTATTACAATAACTCCATGAGGTAGTATGATTACTTTCATTTTAGAGTTGAGGGAACAGGTTAATTTAATCTTTTCTTTACCAATCCCATGGTATTCCTAAAAGGGTGTCTCAGGGAGGTTAAGAAATGTACTCAGAGTTGCTCAGGTAGCAGATGTCAAGCTTGAATCTTGGACCAGCTCATGCCTTTCAACAGCTCTGTCCAGATTCCAGGAAGTCATGTATTGGACATCTAACATGTGCCAAGTCTTCCAGAGCCTGCGTTTCTCCAATCTATTAAGTGACCCTCTGCTCCTTAGAGAGCTCCTCTCCTCTTTAACCATCTTCCTTCCCTTTCACTGTCTTTATCTTTCTCTATCAATTTTCTTTTTATTCTCTCCCTGTGTTGGTATTAATTAGCAGATCTTCATGATTTATATTGGCAGTAGAGTTTGATGTTGGAACATGAATGCTTTGTCAGCAATCACGATGGTGACAGGTTAAAAGGAAATGAAGTTCACACATCTCTCACTTTGTATGTGAATTCATTTTTTTTTTTTTTTTTTTTTTTTTGAGATGGAGTCTTGCTCTGTTGCCCAGACTGGAGTGCTGTAGTGCGATCTCAGCTCACTGCAACCTCCACCTCCCAGGTTCAAGCAATTCTCTGCCTCAGCCTCCCGAGTAGCTGGATTACAGTCACCCACCACCACACCCAGCTAATTTTTTGTATTTTTAGTATAGACACGGTTTCCCCATCTTGGCCAGGCTGGTCTTGAATTCCTGACCTCATGATTCACCCACCTCAGCCTCCCAAAGTGCTGGGATTACAAGCGTGAACCACCATACCTGTCACTGTATGCAAATTCATTAAAACCCATTATTAACCAAAAGCACTTTGATAATGGTTTGCCTTTTGTCTCTTTTATTTTTTATTTTAAAAAAAAATAGGCCTGGTGTGGTGGCTCACGCCTGTAATCCCAGCACTTCAGGAGACTGAGGCAGGCAGATTACTTGAGCTCAGAATTCAAGACCAGCCTGGACAACATGGTGAAACCCCATCTCTTTTAAAAATACAAAAATTAACTGGACATGGTGGCAATCACCTGTAATCCCAGTGACTTGGAAGGCTGAGGTGGGAGGATTGGTTGGGCCTGGGAGGTGCCAGCCTGGGTGACACAGTGAGTACCTGTCTCAAAAAAAAAAAGTTTCAGGTAAAGAAATCATCTCCAATTTTAAAGCTCTTTTTAACTCTTCTTTTCCCTCTCATCCTCTAACTGAAGATTACCACTCTTTCCACTCATCTATTTATGGATGAATCATTTAGTCAGTGTTTATCTTGTGCCAGGTTATATGCTAGATAATAATCACTTCATCCTTTAAAATATGCCTTTTATCAGTCTCATTACCATGACAGTAGCACTTGTTTAGCTAATTCTGCCTTAGGGTTTCAGTTAAGACCCTGTTTGCAAGTCATGGAAGCAGCCTAGCTTGGGGTAATGCAGCTAGGCACTGTCAATGCAGCGGAGTACAGGCAGCTCTAGGTCTCATACCTCTGGTTCTTTCTGGCATGTTTGCTTTCTTGCATTTCTCTAAAGATTGGCTTTTGTTACTTCTCCACCTTTGGAGGAAAGATGGCAGTTCCTGAGTTTTTATATATTCCTCAATTTCAGCTATAAACAGAGATAGCTGACTGGCTCCTAATTGAGGTTCCAAATTCCTGGGAAAGAGAATGTGATTGGCCCAACCAGCATAATAAAGCGTCTGATCTTTTTTTTTTTTTTTTTTTTTTTTTTGAGATGGTCTCACTCTGTCACCCAGGCTGGAATGCCACTGATCTTATTTGTGATGTTTGACAACCGGCTTGTAACTTGTTTTTATTTATTTATTTACTTTCTTTGAGACAGAGTCTCACTCTGTCGCCCAGGAGTGGTGGAGTGCAGTGGTGCAGTCTTAGCTCACTGCAACTTCTGCCTCCCGAGTTCAAGTGATTCTCCTGCCTCAGCCTTCTGTGTAGCTGGGATTACAGGCCTGCGCCACCACACCCAGCTGATTTTTGTATGTTTAGTAGAGGTAGGGTTTCATCATGTTGGCCAGGCTGGTCTTGAACTCCTCACTTTAGGTGGTCTGCCCACCTTGGTCTCACAAAGTGCTGGAATTATAGACATCAGCCGTGGTACCCAGCTGTGACTTGTTTTTAAACCTGAACCTTCTTTTTGCCTTTGTCCCCACATCTAGGCAGGATTATAAGAAGGCCTGTGAGCTCACCTTCTTATTTGGTGGCAACAGGAAATTTAAACCTCCCAGCCAGCATGCACTTTCCCCAGTCCTATCTCTCAACTCCTATGAAAGTCCAACCTGCTTTCTCCTTCTGCTTTGCTCAAGTCAGTTCAGACAGACTTGTGCCTGCCAAGCACTCCCCAGAAGGCCCTTGTGTAAGCAATATACTTTCTCTAAAATTCTTCTGCTTGTGGAGTGTCATCAGTCTTAACATCAGAACCAAACTTTGAATGGGGGCCCGTCTTGCTTTGCAGGGTAGGCTCTAAAACACCCAGCTTGAGTCAGGCACTCACTCTGGCCCTATCAACCATGCTGTAGTCTAGTACAACTGCTGGGCGTCCTTCTCTGTGGGTAGAAGGAAATTATCAGGAAAAGAGAATTTTTAAATTAATTCAACACATTATTTGAGTGCGTACTCTGCCAGGCATTGCCCCAGGTTAGTGACTCTAAAACTTGAGTGCACATAGGAATGACTTGGAGTGCTGGTTAAGCAGATGGCTAGGTCCCACTGCCAGAGTTTATTATTCACTAGGTCTGAATTTGGGGCTGGGAATTTACATTTCTAACAAGTTCCTGGGTGATGCTGATGGCCCAGGGACCATACTTTTGGAACTGTTGTTGTAAGCAACATGAACGGAATGCCATGGTAGGAGCTAGGTAATAAACAGTGACCACAGTAAATAAGTAAATGATCTAGTATTTCAGAAGACAATGTGTGCTATGGAAAAACCAAGTGGAGTGTGTAAAACAAATTGGAAATATGAAGTAGGGGAATGGAAGGTAGATTGCAATATTAAATAGGGTGATCAAGAAAGGTGAGATTTAAGCAGAGACTTGAAGGAGGTGAAGGAATGGCTCTCTGGGGGAAGAGCATTCACAGAAGGAACAGCTAGAGCAAACGCCCTAAGGTTTCCAGGAGTGTACCTGGTATGCTTGATAGACAGCAGGAGGCTTTGTGTGGCTGGAGCACAGGGATCCATGGAGAGTAAAAGGATGGGTCAAACAGCTAAGAGGTGAGTGGGTAGATCATGAAAAGACTTCCAGGGCATTACAGGGACTTTGGCTTTGACTTGAGTGAAGTTAACAGCGACTGGACAGTTTGGAGTAGTGGTGTGATGTAATGTGACCCCTGTTTTTAAAGGTTCACGCTGGCCGCTACATTGGAAATAGATCATAAGGGGGTAAAGTGACAGCGCCATCCACTGCTGTAACCAAGTGAGAGGTGAAGGTAGCTTGGCCAGTGTGGAAGTGGTTGATGCGGTGAGAAGTGGTTAGTATCCAGACATGTACTGAAGGAGGAGTTAACAAGAGTCCATAAAGAGAAAAATAAAACATGACTCTAAGGTATTAGCTGAGCAATTGAAAGGACAGAGTTGACATCACCGAGTTGGGGAAGGCTGTGAGTGGTGGAGGCTTGGGGCAAGTGGGAGATCAGTTCGAGGCATGCTGAGGTAAGGTATTTAGCGTATATGGAGAGAATTGTTGAGTAATCAGATGTATGAATCTGGAGTTTGGGGAAGACGTCTGGGCAGGAGAGGGATATGAGAGTAGTCATGTGATGAAACTAGGCGGCTGGATGGTATCATTAAGAAACAAGGGTAGACAGAAAAGAGGAGCAGTTCAAAGAGTGAACCCCCGGCCATACCAATATAAAGAGATTGAGGACAAGAAGTAAAAGGAAAACCAAGCGTGGAGTCCTGGAAGCCAAGTGAAGGTCAGGGGGAGGTGTCTGCTGTACTTCATTATTTCATTCATCTTTTAGTGCTTCTTTCTCATTTTAATTCAGTCCCTCTAAAATCTGTTCTGCACATCACTACCAGGACCACGTTAACCCTTTTTGAACATGTTTATATCATTGCACTTCTCTGTTAAGAAAACCTCACAAAATCTAACAATTTTATAAACCTTAGTTTTATCGTAGTATCTTTTCTTGTTTTGCAATGTTAGCTAATTGAACAAATAACATTATTTTAGAAAGGATACATTTTATAAGAAAAGAACAGTTAATTATAGTTTCACCAACCCTCTTACACATTATCTGTTATTGCTGTCCATGATAAATCTTAATAATTATATATTTTAATTATGTATATTTATATTTCAGTGACCACTTAGTACATCTGGGTCATTTGATGAATGTAGCCCAGAGAAGTGACTCATTTACCACTCTAAGACTTGGCCTCGCTATTTTTACTGACTGTCAGGCTCTGTACAAATTATTCTACTTCTCAGTGTTCTAGTTTCCTCATTCACAAATAGGAATGGCAATAGAGCTCACTTTGTAGAACTTTGATGAAGAATAAATACAGTAATGCACATCAAGTGCTTAGTTCAGTACTTGACATCTTTAAATTCTTCCATCTGATTCAAGGCCTTCTGAAATCATGTCCAATCATATTACCCACTTTTTTTTTCATTTTTTCCCCCTCAGACCTTGGAGGGATGAAATGTCTCCTTTTTTTCTTTTTTCAAACTCTGAGCTGTCTCTCTAGTCTTTCCTAAATGTACTTCAATTTCTGTACCTTTTGCAGATTCTGTCTTAACTGTGCCAATCTGAATCTTATCTCTGTCTTCGGGCTCAAGTCAAGCCCTGCCTTTTCCTTGAAGTCTTCATATCTACTTTTCCAAAGCCTCTGCAATTATTACATAATTCTTTTTAGTTTTTCTGTGATGTTATGGGTTTTATGCCTTTAACCTGATTCCAGTTTCATAGAATCTGACACCATCTGTATCTAAACTTTGAAGAGTCTATCTCCACAGTGCCTAACACAGACTAGAAACTTCATAGAAACTTATTGGTTGGATGATCATGAGTATTCATTGGCAGATTTGAAAAATTCTGGCCCTCTAAGTTATTCTGTGGAGTGGAGAATATCCAAGTAATGTGTCATTCACTTCATTCCATGAATGCATTTATACTTTGTACCTTAGCTGCTTCCATAAAGGATTTGAAGCAGTACAGAACTCATTTGGTGAGATTTTTGTATTGTTACTTACATATTAAATGGAATGCTTTTAGAAACATCATTAAGGAAACATATTCTACCATAAAAAATAGGTATGTCAGTTTTTTTCTTTTGAGCTTCTTGGCTTCACCAGTGAAATCATTTATTTTGCCTATTGTTAAATTTGTTAAACTTAAAACATAGCATGCCTTCTTGGAAGGCTTCTCTGTTTTACTCTTTACTATTTTCAGCTGTGAACTTTTTGTTGCACAAAAGCTCTGAAAGTGTCAGTCAGAACCAGAAAAGAATAAAGTATTTTTTCATATATTGGGTTTGGGAAATCTGATTGTTTCTCTTGGAACAGATTGTTCATTATAACAGTATCTATAATAAATGGAGTGCACTGCCGAGATAGATGGAAATGAAATTAATTTGGCTCAGATGTGATCTTTGTTTTGCTTATGAGGATTTGAAACATCCTTACAGAGTTTCAAATTTCCATGCAATTTAGAAATAAAAGAGATTTCAAAAATGCATCTGTCTCCCTTGCCAGTAGCCATTACCTGACTATGGCACTGTAGAACAGAACAGCAAATGTGAATAATTGTGTCTGAAGTGAGTGTGTGATAGCACTGTGTAAGATGCTGTCATACATTGTATACTGTATGACTTCTTGTTTAAAACATGCATTCACAAACAAAAATATTACATAACCTATGTGCTTTTTGTTGTAGGTTGCCTATCAAGTTGGTAACTATGAGTTGGCTAAGAAAGTTTTCTCACCAGTTTGGGATTATTTTGTTGCTTCCCCACTTCAGGATGAACAATCTGTTATTTGTTTAAGCAATATAATTACTATTACACAGAGAAGGTAATTAGAAATATTCTTTTAAAATATTAATTTGCTTACTGAAAATACAGATGCTGTATGTGAAGCCTGGAATTATTTTCAGTATCATTTTCACATAGTTCATATAAAATGATTTCTAATAAGAATTGTAATAAGAGTATACATTGCGAGGTCTCATGTGCTTGTTAGAAACTTTCTTTATGTTTTTTTTGTTTTGTTTTTTTTTTTTTGTTTTTTTAATATTCACTCACTCTGTCACCCAGGCGTGATCTTGGTTTACTGCAACCTCTGTCTCCTGGGCTAAGTCAATTCTCGTGTCTTAGCCTCCCGAGTAGCTGGGATTACAGGCACGTACCACCATGCCCTGCTAATTTTTGTATTTTTAGTAGAGATGGCGTTTTGCCATGTTTGCCAGGCTGGTCTCCAACTTCTGGCCTCAAGTGATCCTCCCACCTTAGCCTCTCAAAGTACTGGGATTACAGGCATGGGATTACAGTACTGGGATTACCTGGCTGAGAAACTTTCTTCCCAGAGTCAGCAGAAACACGGGAGGCATAAGGTTGAAGGTTATGAAGTAAGAATACCAACTGTGAACCAAAGTAATATCAGTTATATCATAAAACACAAATATGCATTGGGAGCTTTTGTATCAGAGAACGGTCAGATTGGGATTAAGGTTATGGTGTGACAGGTTGACTGTTACGGTAAGAAAGCTTTTCCTTTGCTAGAAGAGGCTCCCAGGATTAGACCACTGAAAACTGCCATTAGGCCAGTAGAAGCCATATAAAACTACAGTCCTTTGTCTTTACTGCCATTTTCCTTAAAAGAACAAAGTTTTGAAGCAAGCTCAGAAATGAGCATTAGTGTAATTTCAGGCAGTCTCAATAACAAGTTCAAAAGCAACAAGAATCTCCCTCAGCTGATTGTTAATACCTGAAAGTTTTAAAATAAGGAGACAAAACCCTTCATTCCTCAATCAAAGATAACGAGCTCAAATATGCAAATATTGGTTCAGGCAAGGCATTGATAATTCCATTCAATTAAACAAATACAGACTTAGCATTTTCTATGTACAGGGATGCTACATGCTATGGGGGGATGGATTTGAGAGGCATTTGGAGGAGGAAGAGATAGGACTTAGATATTATGTGACTTGTGGGGATAAGAGAGAAAGGAGTGAAAAGTGACTGGGAATTCTAGTGTTAACCGACTGGGAAGTCTGTGACATTTACTAAGGGGATATGAGAGGTAGAACAAGTTCTTGGAGGAAGATAATTACTTTGATTGAGGATATTTTGGGTTTAGTTTTCCAGCAGGACGCCTTTGTGAATATGAGATGCCAGTAGGTTTATTTATCTAGTGCTGACACTCAGGGGAGCATCAAGGCTAGAGATACAGATTTAGAAATTGTCCATTGAGTTAATCATTGAGATCTTGAAAATGAATGATTATCTCCCAGGAAACGACTATTTAACAGAAAAGATAGAAGGCCAGAATTGAACTCTAGGCATGGCTTAACATTTAGAGGGCAGAAGCAGAAGATGGAACCAGTAAAGAATATTGAAAAGAAGCTGTCCAGAAAATGAAAGTCCAAGAAAGTGCATTGCTAAGGAAAGTGAAAGTATCACCAAAGAGGGACGGCCAGCGATATTAAATGCCAGTGCGAGGTCAGGCAGAGTAGCTGCTCAGTAAAATGCCACAGAGAGGGTTGAGTAGAATACAAATGAAGAAGAGTTGGCAATGAGGAGGCCATTGGTGAATTCACTTTTTGTAGCATGATAGGCCAGAAACCATTTTGGAATTGGCTAAGAAAAACAAGAAAACGAAAAATCCTAGCAAGCAAAGACCACTCATGCGAAGTTTGGTGCTAAAGAGGAGGAGACCAGGCAGAAGCTTAGTGGGGAGGCAGGCTGAAGGAAAGAATTGTGGAGTGTCGAGGGAAGGGAGCCAGAAGAGAGAGAGAGACTGAAATTGCAGGAAATGCAGGCAATGATAACACTATGGTGGTAGAGCCTGGAGGACATTAGAGTTCATGGGGTAGAGAGAGCAAAGGATTTAGAATGATTTTTTAAATGGGAAATATGAACAAGGAGACATCAGGGATAAATGGAAGTGTTGTTGAGATGCAGTACTGACTCAGTTGATGTAATTGAACATGAATTTGTACTGAAGCCCAGCTCCTTGTGGCTAAAGACCCAAGGGTCTAGAACAGTGTCTTCTACATTAGGAGGCATTCTGCAATTGCTAGTGTGGATGAAAGAAAGAATGAGTGAGTAAAATCAGCAAGTAAGTGATTGATCATTGTCACAGAGATAGAAAAATTGGACAGTGACATGTATGCAAGGTCAGGCAAATTGATTATTGTACAAAGTGAGGTGAGAGAACCTAACCTGCTAAAAAGATGATTATTGAAAGGACTGACCAAAGTCTGGGCTGGATAGAGAAGGAAATGGAGCCAGGAGGTGACAACTTGTACTCATTGCACATGTCAAGGTGCCAAAGGTCATCATGAGACCAAGAGCTGGTTTAGTATGAGTTATAAGAGTGGGAGAACACCAAAATCCTCCTGGTAAAGATAATTTTAAAGCTTAACATGGTCATGAAAGTGATCATCTTTCAGTGTGAATTACTGCTATTACTGATATTAGCCACTGTCCTGTTTTATAGGGATGGGGTATAGAGAGTAGATAAGCCCGAAGCTTAAGAGGAAGCGTTTGTCACCAAGTAAGGCTAAGGGCAAGGAAGGGAATACTGGATACAAGAAAGGCTTTGCCAATGGTTGGCTCTGTCAATTGCAATTTAGAAAAGATAATTAGAAATAATCTAAGCGTTGTTAAGGCTCTCTTTTAAACCATGGCTGAGTTTGCTATCAATGACCCTCATTTTCAGGAAATGTGTTAATTTGAAACATTGGGCCTATTTCTCAACCTTCTGAAAATCTGTAGTCATTTTGTTATCTTGATTAAAAAAAAAAAACTATGTATTAGAACCAAAAAATTGTCACCAATTAATTTTATATATCTGTGACATAATATTTCAGTAGTTTTTCTTAGTTGTGAACTTGTCTTTGCAAGAATAGCTATTCTAAACATTTTTGTTGCTTTTTTTGGGATCATTGTGTAGATACTGAGAACAAATCAATATAAAAAGACCAGTTGACCTGCTAAATCATTTTATGTTTAAACCTGCTATTTGCTTTATATTGCAGATTACATGCAGATATTTTGGCAGAGACTTCTTCAATCCTCTTATACCTTTTTCTCAGAAACATTTTTGTAATAAGTGACATCAAAATTAAAGAAGAAAATCTTTTCTGTGATAATATTAAAGGCAATGAGGTTTTCCCATCTCAACAAGTAAGTGAATTAGAGTGATTAAAACATGTCAGATTCACTATATTTTCTTCTTGATGTTTTAAGGTCAAGTATTTTGAGTGATTGAATAGCTCATCTGGTGAATGGACTGAAAGGACACTGTATGATTATGCAACTTTATGTGATATTTCATATAAGTTTCACAGGCCTGAATTCATGGTTTTTTCTCTTCTTTTCAATTTATCTTTTTCCCCCCTGTGTACAAAAGTACTATATATTTCAGACATTCAAAAATATATAATGTATAAAGTAAAAGCCACTGTAATCTTATTACCACTTAGAATACAACAATTTTGCTTTCATATAATCTCTCTAATTTAAAAACATATGCCTAGACAAATCTGATATTATTATTTATGAAAATGGGATTTGATCTACTTATTTTGTGACTTGTCTTTTAAACACTTTTATAATATAGCTTGCACATATTTTCATGCTGCTATATATCAATCTGCCACATTTTTTTCAATTGTAATATTGTCTCTATGGAGACAGGAATGTAACGTGTCTCCTATTGATAGATTCTCAGGGATTACAGGCGCATGGCTCACGCCTGTAATCCCAGAACTTTAGGAGGCCAAGGTAGGTGGATCAAGAGGTCAAGAGATCAACATCCTGGCCAACATGGTGAAACCTTGTCTCTACTAAAAATACAAAAATTAGCTGGGCGTGGTGGCACGCGCCTATAGTCCCAGCTATTTGGGAGGGTGAGACAGGAAAATTGAAGGCTTGAACCCAGAAGGCAGAGGTTGCGGTGAGCCAAGATTGTGCCACTGCACTCCAGCGTGGTGCCTGGCGATGAAGCGAGACTCTGTCTCAAAAAAAAAATAAGAAAGAAATCTTTCCCCAGGAAAGGAAAAAGAGGAGTAAGAATGGATTACTATTCTTTTTAAGTGGCGTTTACTCTCAAAACCTCAACTTTACATTTCACTATCATTTTAATTTAAATAGTAAAAGTATAATTAATAGAAGTATAATAGGAGGTTAGCTTGGTTTGCTGAAAATTTACCATTTTCTCCCAAATCAAAAAAGGAAATGAAACTCTGTTAATCAAATGGGGGCAATATTATAGAGATTTTATATTTTAATTATTATAGTTTATATTTTTGAAAACTAGATGTTTCTTTAACATAAAAATATAGCCAAGTTTTTAGCTTATCAATAAATAAAACTTGTTTCTTTTCTGTTATGGCACTTGTATTGTTTTATGAAAAATTCTGAAGTTTAATTCTAAGATCGTGCTATCTATAGATAGCATTATTGGAGAGTTAGAGTTGTTTATGTATTAGATTTTTAAAAATACAAACACTCATGTTTTTAGCCAGAAAGATCATATTTTCTACCCTTTCTTCTCCTTAGAGACACATAAGCTAAGCACCTGTGTTGAATCTGAATATCAGTGCCTGTTTCTTTACAGATTGCCAGACTGATTGAATGTGAGAGAGTATTAGTGGCATTGGAACTTAGCAACTCTCTAAATGATTCCAGCTATGCTCTTCAAGCTGTGACTCAATGTTATGGCCTTCTTGCTCCCATAATCTATCACAATATTGTTTTGGTACCTGTTGTACAGGTAAGGATATTCCTCTCCCCAAGAAAAGGCAGTCTTTATAGAGGCAACTTAACAATTCATTTTGGAAAAGAAAAGCCATGTATCTCTTGTAAAGGGCAAATAGGTCAGGAACAAGTATTATGAAAATATAGGAGTTAACTGAAAAGCACTTTAATAGTATGTCTGGGCAAACATAGATAAAGATGTAAAATGGGTTTCTCTGAAAATATTCGGCCCTGTTCCTATCCATATTTAAATATTGGCAATCTACTTTTCTAGAGTTTTAAAGCTATTTTAATTTTTATGTTCTCATAGTGTCAGAAACAACAGTATTTATTCAAGGCATATTGTTAAATCCATCATCTGGGAAAAAATATGGTGATGACCCAAGAAAAAATACCTGGTGTCTTGGTGATGGAGGAGTTAGGATTTATGGAAAAAGGGTAGCTGAGATCTGGCTGAAGGGATTATACAGTTTTTCATGTTTCTAACAAATCACCATGGAGTTAGTGACTTGAAAGGACACTCATTTACTGTCTCATAGTTTCCGTGGGTTAAGAGGTTGGATACAGATTAGCTGGGTCTTCTGCTTAGGGTCTTATGAGGCTGAAATCGAAAAAGTGTTGGCTATGGTTGTGATTTCGTCTGAGGCTTGAGGCCTTTTTCTGAGTTCACTGGTTTTTTTTTTTTTGTTGTTTTTTGTTTTTTTCTTTTATCTGAGTTCACTGTTACTGAGAGAATTCATTTCCTTGAGGTTTTACATAGGAGGTCCTTAGCTCCTAAAGGCCAACTACTAGTTCCTTGACACATGGCCTTTCCACATCATGGCACTTTGCTTTTTCAAGGCCATAGGAGAGTCTCCTCCAGTATACTGTGAGGAGCCTTATCTAGGGTAATATATGCATGAGACTGATGAGCTCATCACATTCAAGGGATCCTACAGCGTGGGAGAAGGTGATTAGGGAGGGGAGAAATTTAAAAAGTATTAGAGACGAGTGTACTGCAACAATAATAATATTGTTAGAATGAGAACTTGAAGCAATTAATATGCCCCCAAAGAACCGACATTCATATATTAATTTGTCCTTTGGGTTAATCTAAATGATGAATAGATTGATGCAATCTCAAAGCTACTTTTGAAAAGCTAAAGTTATTCATCTAGCTTTTGGTCAAATTTAGGATCATATAAAATGAAACAAGCAGAATAGGAAGTAAACACCAATATTAATTGATTTCCTGAGATACGAATGTCTGGTTTTAATTTTAAAGGAAACAATTATTTTAAGTACCTGGAATCACTGTAATATTTATGCCATATAATCTTCAATCTGGTTTTACAAGATTCTCCTATACATGGATGTGATAGTTTCTCATATACATGTAACATTCTGACTATACCTTTTATGATACTTAACAAAATATGCTTTGTTTTATGGTTATTTGTGTTTTTATGGTAATTTGCGTGTTTTTTAATTCTATCCACTAATTTTCAAGTTACTGTAGATGAAAGACTTATCTCAAAATGGAATGTACCAACTTTATCTCAGTGTACTTTCCTTTATTCCTAACAAACAATTTATTAATAATTATTGATGATAATAAAATTTTGTGTCTTAAAGCTGACATGATTTGAATGGAACATTTTATAATGAAATGAGTAAGGATGACATTTTAAAACAAAAATCATTATGATTCTAATTTTTAGATCTTGATAAAGTGTATAGTGGTTTTGCAAGGACTACCAAATATCGTCTGCTCGAAAAAACATACTGCGAGTTTTGAAAGCGTACAGCACATGATAGCTTGTTGTATCTTCTATATAACGAAGGTATTTATCTCATTCTTTATCTAGTATCATAAACTTTAGGAGCAATGGTGATTTAGAAAGTCTACTTTTAATCACAATGAGAACACTTTTAAAAATAGCACCCTAAAAGCATTTTTAAATCAAAAGCAAATGTAGAGGCTAAACATTATAGAATAGCAATCTGTTGACTTTTTGATGAAACTGTGGTGCTTCACAAACTAAAACTTGATGTAATTGAAATAGCATTTGTATATTTTATCGGCATTATATATGGTCACACAGAACATACTTGTTTCAAAACCCTAAAACATTAATTATATATTTATTGTAGTGCAATAAACCTGCATATCATCTTATCAGGTTGTGATTTTAGTGGAACCTTCAGGCAGACTTTAAGCATCTTAACCCAGGCATTGAGATACTGGGGCTTAGAAGACATCAAGAGGCCAAGCAGCCAGGTTGTAAGTGAACAGTCAGTCAGTAATGGAGGGGTATAATCTCACGACATTAGAATGTAAACAAATGATGTTAGGCCTGAAGGAAAGGGCTGACTAGGCAGAGTCTAAGGATGATTCTGAGATTGGTGTGTAGGGCCCTGAACTCAACAGGGGACAAACCGTAGAAGTGAATTCAGGCTGTGCCAGTCAAGAGTGCTGTATCCGGACATCTAAACCCAGGAGAAGACATAGGCAAGAGTGTGGTCAGAATATAAACAGACTTTTCATTTTTGTTTCATTCCTTCATTCAGCAAATATTTATGGATTACCTATTTGTGTCAGGCACTGGTTTGGGCTCTTGACATATGTACAAAGAATTAGAACCCCATAGTAATTGTAGGAGAAGAATAATGAATCATGGCTGACACCCAGATTTCTAGCTTAGGTGATGAATTGATAGTGGTGACACAAACAGGGAGGCAGGAAGATCACCACTAAGGGCTGGGGTGATTGGGGAAGGCTTCACTCTGGGGGTGAGACTTAGGTATTCTCTGAGCAAGAGTTACAAACACAAATGCCTGCTAAGACCAAGAGGTAAAATAACTCATGAATTGGTTGTATGTAAGGCAAGGTTGGGTCCTGAGACAAACTAGAGATTAGGTACATCTACCTATAGGCATTCTTTATTTAAAAAGAAACCAACATTGTCTCACAGAGCTTGTGGTTTAGTGGTGGAGACAGAATACAAAGATACACATGAAATATAATTTCATGAAGCTTTAAGTGTTGTAAGCAAAAAGAAAAGCAGTGAAAGGAGACAGATTTATGGGCTGACCCTACTTTAGATGGGATGACCCTGTAGCAAGAGGAAGAGTAGAGCTGAGACAGATGGAGGAGGAACAGCTTGGTGGCAGAGGGCATGAAGAACTATGCAAGTGAGTGGACTTAGAGGTTCATGACCAGTTTTTAGCCTAGAGTTGAGTGGGCACATTTAAGCGGGGCAGACCATTCATATGGAGCAACAGATTCCCAACCTGTTGATTTGACAGTTATTGTAAGAGGTCTGTATAGGCCGAGTTGTGCTTAGCATTGTTTCTAAACTGAATCACCATATTCCCGAGTGTTTTGCTTTGTTTTTTTGTTTTTTTGTTTTTTTTTACAAAAATATGGGAAAACAATTGAAATAGTTAACTAAATTTGTTTAGGCTTTAGTTAATGAGAAGAAATACTAGAAAGTATTTATTATAGCTCAAAGGCTTACAGGAAGTTTGTTTTAAGGTAAAGAGATGAGGAATTCTGAATAGATGACAGCTCAATCACACATCCCTGAATTTTCTCGTTTTCAATTTTTATTTTGGCATATTATATACAGAAGCCTGAGCAGGCCAGTTGGTAAAGGCTGGAGGGGGTATCTTAGGCCAGAATATCTGAGGGAAAGGCTTTTTATGGGACTTCATTCACCTTGGAAACGAGAAGGAACTGAAAGACAAGAGGCAGAGAGGTCAGCTTGTTTATTCTCATTGCTTGGCTCAAAGACCAGCATTGTGTGGTTCCTCAAAGGCTGTAGTTAACAGAATCCAGTGATTCCCTCAAAGAAGGGCCATATCTGCCTGCCTGTTTTATGTGGTTCTCATAGGACCTTTGCAATTTAACCAGAGACCTGGAAGAATGCTGTATAGGTGAGCTGATTTGCTCCATTGCTTTAGTTAGGATGTAAGCTTGGTTCTTTGGAGGTCTGGCAGCAGAGAGGCTTCTTCCCTCCACCTTAGCAAAGAAGCCATTATTTGCTGGCTGTTCATGGCCTGACCTCAAGAGCAGGAAATAATATTTGTTCCGTTGCTCACTGGCTTGCCAGTGCTGCAGAGACCACTATGACCTGGTCTGTGTAGATGCTGAGGGAATGTAAGCCATTAGGAAGGAAAAAGCAATTTTTCACTGAAGGAGACTCAGTACTTCAAGGGAAGAAGAGCAAGCCAGACACCAAAATCATTGTTTCCACTCTCACCATGTTGGAAAAAGACTAGAGAAGACTTGGTTAAAAAAAGGCAGAGAAAACTTTGAAGGAGATACAATCATGTGATCTAGAAGAAAAGAAACAAAATAACCCTTCTGTAACTGAACAAACAAATTTGATATTTGATTGAAAAAAATCAAATAGATGAAGAGTATAATTAAAGTATTTCTGGAGTCAATTCTGAAAGCTCATGAAATACCCCCTCCAACATAGTGCAGAATTACCTAGAGGTGGTAAATAAATTCAGAAGGCAGATCCAGAAGTCGTAACATGAAAACAAAAGAAGCCTGGAGGTAGAAGAGCAAAAAAAATGGAGAAGGAATAGGCCTCCTGAGTTCCAGGCAGGATTAATGTAAGAATACAAATGGAAATACAGGTTGGTGAAATCCCTGAAGTCAAAGGATAAGGACGAATCTTAAAGTTTTGAGACCCAGAGAACATTTATTTGCAATGGAAAAAGAATCAATTAGCTTCAGACTTTTTTTTTTTTTTTTTTTTTTTTAATCAGCAATGCTAGAAGTTAAAACACTAGAACAACATTTGTAGAATCCTGAGGGGAAAAGACCGATGTCCAAAAATTAATAACCAGGAAAGATACATTCATTTGTCAGGGCAAAATAAACATTTTCAGAAGTGCGGGCATTTAAAAGGTATTCTGCCCATGTATTTATCTGAGGAAAACACTTGAGGAAATACTCTATCAAATGACAATTGATTCAGAACAGAAATCCCAAGACAGGGAAAGACAAAAAGAAGAAGAATAATGGGAGCAATGAATCTTGCAATATATGTATTATTAAAATTAAATAGATAATAATGGCGAGACTAGGACTTTGTAATATAAATGCTAAGTAGGGATTCTTTAGAGAAGAGTCATCCTTGAAAGAAAAATTTATTAATAACCTAGAACTAAAACTTCTATCCTGCTTAACGTCAGGGGAGGTATGAGCAGGTAAAGATCTTTGGTGCATGGTTGCACGTTTTATGTATGCATACACACACACACACACACACACAGGCACACATATACATATAAAAATACACATATTATAAAATTATTTTTGATAGTGTATATATGTATTGTATATGTATATATTTAAAGATGACTCAGAGAAATCGTAACCATGAGCAGAACTTTACAGCATAGTAGAATTTCCTTTTTTTTTGAGACAGAGGCTCACTCTGTTGCCCAGGCTGGAGTTCAGTGGTTTGATCTCGGCTCACTGCAACCTCTGCCTCTCCAGTTCAAGCAATTCTCATGTCTCAGCCTCCTGAGTAGCTGGGATTACAGGCATGCATCACTACGTCTGGCAAATTTTTGTATTTTTAGTAGAGATGGGGTTTCACCATGTTGCCCAGGCTGATCTCGAACTTCTGACCTCAGGTGATCCACGTGCCACAGCCTCCCAAAGTGCTGGGATTACAGGTGTGAGCCACCATGCCCAGCTGCATAGTAGGACTTCTAAATTGACAGGGAGAAAAAATGAACAGGGAGGAATGAGAAAGAAGAAACAGGGACAGGAAAAACTGACAGGGAGGAAAAATGGTGAATTTCAGCAAAAGTAAGAAGGAAAAAGAGAAAGTATATAAGACAGAAGGCATATAATTAAGTATATCGATCACTTCACTGAATGTGAATGAATTCAGAAGACAGAAATTACCAGATGGGGTAAAAAGTCAGGCTCAAATGTATTCTATTTCAAGAAACTCTTCTAAAACATGGTGACAAACAATGTTTGAATAAATAAATGGATAGACAATGGTACTGGGAAAATGCAAAGAAATTAAAGGTGAAGTGGCAATTTTCATATCAGAAAAAGCAAAGTTCATAGCCCAAAATATTAATCAGAACTAAGAGAGTAATTATGTAGTATCCTTCAGATCTGTTCTGTCTGATCACCCTTCTCTGTTCCTGAATGGCATTTGGTCACTTTCTGGTCCTAGGACAGTCTCATTGTCAAGTATTAAAAATTAAGTCTGAATTAGAACAAAACATTAATTTTTTGCAATGCAAGTTAAAGAAGAAAAGTAAGATTATAAGAAAAATGCCACAAAGACATTTGATAACACTTAGTGGCCTTTCCTAATAAAATTTCTAATAAATTAGGAAAGGAAAGAAGCTATTGAATGACAAAGACGTTTACCAACATTTTACAGCAAATATACTGAATGGCAAATTTCTGGAGCCATTTCTTTAAAAATCAGCCACAGGAAATAGATGCTGACTCCTAACAGTGAGATTCGGTATTTTTTGATGTTCTTTCTCATGTAATAGATAAGGATAGAAAATAATTTTATAATATTAGAAAAGTATAATTTATCTATAATTATACTGGTCTCACAACCCCATGAAATGCTGGTAAAAAATTACTAGGATTATAAAGAGAATATATAAAGTAATCATATGTAATACACTTACAAACTGATAGGTTTTTAAAAATACTAGCAATAGGTTAGAAATGGAGAGGGTAAGATATACCACTTGCCATGCACAAAATTTAAAACTTAACAGAATGTTGAAGAATCTAGATAAAAGAACGTTGGGATCTTACTGAGGGACACAAAATAAG